GATGAGGCAGGCCGGGAGGAGGAAGGGGGGGAGGCGGGGGGGGGCGGCGCCGCATTTGGAGGTGTGGGGAGGGGGAGGGAGAAGGAAGACGTGAGAGGGAAGAGGATAATGGCCCACAGCCGCCAGGAGCGAAAGGCGGTGGAGGGGGGCGAGGAGGGACGGTGGTGGTGGTGATTGGAAAGAGGGAGACAGGGAGACAGAGGAAGAGACAGAGAGGAAGGGAGAGAGAGAGAGATACGGAGACAGGAAGCGAGGCTGGAGGAGAGGGGTAGAGCCCGCGACGAAGCATGAATCTCCTCCGCTGATTTCGTTTGGCCGGGCGCCATGGTGGTGCCGGACCGAAGGGGAGTGGGGAGAGAGGAGGGGAGGGGAGGCGAGGGGAGGGGAGGGGGGAGGGGGAGTTACAGAGAGACCCCGCACCGCAACTGTGTGCAGGGCCTCGCCGCGGGGCATGGACGCCACCGGCCTCCAGAGGAGCCGCGCCAGCATCCAGCCGAACCTGCGCGTGCGTGCGTGAGAGAGAGAGAGAGAGAGAGATCCATCTCCAGCGCAGGTATACCACTGCTATTCCCCAATCTCGTCTCGGCAATGCGTTGTCCAGGACTTCAGAGACGCCGCGCGGGTAGCTCCGGCTCCTGCTGCTGGAGGTTTAAGGAGGATAAAGAAAAGAGGGTGCCTCTGCTGCCTCTGGGGCACTATTCTGCCTTCTCCAGGAGGCCGAGGAGGGTGCTCCAGGGCCGACAGCGGCAGCAGCAGGCGCTGTCCAGAGGCTCCAGGAGCGCCTCTCTGAGCGCGGCTCGCTGCGGGGTCGTTGCGAGCACCTGGAGCGCCCCCCCCCCCCCTCCCCGGAGATATTCATTATATTAAAACGCTCGCCTCTTGCGCCCGAGCCGCGCTGTGCGGCAGACGAGAGAGAGAGAGAAAGAGAGAGAGAGAGAGAGGGAGGGAGAGAGAGAGAGAGATGGCTGCTTGTGAAAGTTTGCGCGAGAGGGACGGCCGGCACCCGCCACGACCACCACGGCCGGCGGGGCCCTCGAGCGCGGCCGGCAAAAATTAACAGAATTTCGCTATTATTGTGACGACAGTTCTCTCCGAAGGGCCGGCCGCCGGCCTGGCCTTGGTTTATTCGTGAATTAGTGCACAAAAACATCAAGTGGACTACGACATTCCCATCTGATCTAATTTTCAACCATACAAATATCGCAGAGTATCAGATAATTATCAATGCATTGTTTATTTTTAGTTTTACAGAGTCATGATGAATGGACCGTGAAACAAGTTTGGAAAAGTTCCCATTCTGTGAACGTTGCGCGTTGCGCTGCAGAGGGTCGCAGAATTCCCTTCATTTTAAACCGCTAATTTAAAGCTCTTCCAAACTGAATTTTCATGCAGTCACCTTTCCCGTCTGCCGGACAGTCGAAAGCACTCTAAA